TTTAATTTTAATTTATTTTTATATTTTCAATTTAAATAAATTAGACACTGAGGAAGAATTTTCGGGAGGCTGCTGGTTTGCTGGGTAAACGAAGTGTGGACCTCGTGTACCTGCCCAAGAACCATAAACAGCACGTTGTAATTGATCACAGACGGCCTGGAAACAGACTGGACTTGGCTGCAGGCTGGGCCACATTCCAGAAAGCAAACGGGCTGGTTATTGGTAAGGCTTACTCATTTGAGTTCAAGCCCGGGAAGAATGTCATCCAGGTCCAGAAGTTGAAGACTGTTAAGTAGCCCCTTGAGGCCCAGCCCATTATGTATTTTACATCTTCTGGTCTAATTTCTCATATAATTTTGAACTGGAATGTGTGTTGATGGAATTTATGGATAAATATTATGTGGACTGTGGCTGACTTTTGTTCAAGTTTGTTGTGATTATTGGTTTTGCCTTAACGGGTGTAATGCTGTATGTGGATCAGTGTGTGGGCAACTTTTTAATGTTAACTAATAGTACTTGATTCTATTGATATGTATAAAATACAGATAATTATTTTTATGTTATATATGTGAGCATACAGTATATATTATCATAAGTTTGAAAATGAGTATATCACATTTTATTAATTTTATCATTAGTATAAAATAATAATATAAATATAAATTATTTTATTTATATGTGAATAACTATAATGCAATAATGTAATTTTACTTTCATATGAAACTGGCGACCGACGGTAGAGTAGCGATGGCAAGAGCTTCGATTTTTGCAAGGAGTGAAGGAGATCACGAAGGTGGAAAACCTCTCGAAATCGGCCAAGAGTTTATCTAATAGTGAAGGGAGACTGAATATTAAAAGGTCGATCGACCCCAACCGTTGGATTGAGGCAGCGTTCAACGACCAAATAAAAAATAACAGTTGAAGGGACATGTCAAAACAGGCCGACAGAATTAAAAAAACAATTGAACGGTTGATATTAAAAACTAGACATGACCAAATTCCAGGCTGGGTCACGACTCGGCCTGGCTCGGCGGGTTGGCAGCGAATCCTGAACCGGCACGGTCTAGGTCCGTGTTGGGTCCGTGACCCGGCGGGTGGGCCCGCCCTAATAAAAAAGTAAAAAAAATTAGATGTTTTTTCCGGCGCCGGCACGGACTCGGCCCGGCCTGCCGGGTCAATGTCAAAAAAATCCCGACCCTGGATCGGCCCGGTTAAAATCGTAGCCGGACCTGGACCCGTGGTCAACGGGTTTGACCGTGCCGGGCCAGGTCAACGGATCGGTTGACCCGTGGCAATGTTTAATAAAAACACATGATATTCCAATGTGAATGCATAGTCAACTACTCAATTTACTTTTTAATTAATGAGACTGAACTAATTAATGACTAAAAACCAATTATTTAATAAATTTGTTTGTTGTGGTGGGTGGGGAATTTAGCAGAGCCACCGACGGGATTAGTCATTAGCAATGAGTTATTTTTTGTTGGAATTTGGGCATAAAATCTGCTTAAATTCTCTGTGATTTTGGCTTGTCATATCAGTAAATCATCACAATTTTCATTTTCCAATTAACATCTTTACCATAATGTTGATTTTGTTAAAATGGCACCACTTTTGTTTCTTGTAGATAATAATAATAATAATAAGATAAATCAAGATGAGACTATTTCTATTTTTCGTTTGCAATCGGCAAAACCATATAGCAAAGTGCAATAAATTATCTTAGCATAAATTAAAGCCCTGAAAATGCAATCCCTATGAAAAATTATCATACTCTAACAAAAAAATCAATGAGTATATTTCGATGAATATCATCAAAATTTATAACATCTCCTTATCCCTTCCCTTATATATTAATTCAGAACGCGCTGAGCTTACGTGGCTGTTTCTGGTGTTTCAGAATCTTATGTGGCAAAATTACATGCTTCGTTATTAGGTTTGGGTAAATTTTAATTTAATTTCAAACAAAAAATAATTAAGTTCGGATTACCATAAATATGTTGATTATTTATGGTAATGTTACATATATTAATTGTATTTTTATAACTATTGAATTGTATATATTTTAAAAGTTAATAATTTTTGTATTTTTTATCAGTTTTATATATGTAATATATCAACAATTAATCTCTTTTTGATGAGTTTCGATTTAACATCCATATTGTATGTATAAAAAAATAATATATATTTATCTTTATAACAATAATAAAATTATTTTTAATATTAATTAGAAAAATAAAATTATTTATCAACTAATATATTTATACTAGTACAATGCTCGTGTATTACACGGGTGCTTGCTAATTTTTTTCTTAAAATCTAAAATAATAAGAAAAAGTAATTGAAAATTTAAATACCTTTTATAAATATATATATTATTATATATTTAGTATGACATTTTTTATTTGTGCGATTTACATGTGTTATATTATAATAACTTTTTTAACTTATAAATATAACTACTTTAAGCATAAATATATCAATTGAGAAATAATTTTATTTTTTTATAAATTTTAATAAATATTATTAATTTTATTATTATAAAGATAAATATAATTTATTTATTTCATATATATAATATGAATGTCAAATCGAAGATCATCAAAAGATGATTAATTTGATATATTATATATGTAAAACCGATAAGAAATAAAAAAGTTATCAACTTTTTAAAATAATTTTACAATTCTATAGCTAATTGAAGGAAATAAATCAAAAGTCAGGGATATATTAGTCACTTAGTGGCTTACTATGTATAATTACAAAAAATTAAAGGGTTATATTAGTACAAATGATATTAAAATACCTAAGTTAGCTAAATATTATTTATAGAATGTCCGAACCTAGATTATTAATTATTAATATATCAATATTATTTGTCCAAACCTAATTAGGAAGCATGATTCTTCGCCAAGTAGGATTCCGAAGCACTAGAAGCAGTCACGTAGGCTCAGCGCATTCGAGAATTATATATAGGGGTGATTTCAAGTAGTTATATGAATAAGTTATTAAAATTTAATATAATATAACACATGTAAGTCATAAGTAACACATATCATTCTAAGATATATAGTAATATATATTTTTTTTAAAAAAAAGTAAACTAAATTTAATATAGTTTTCTCAATAATTTTAAAATTTAAGAATAATTTTTAACAAGCACCTGTGTAATACACAGATGTTGTACTAGTTTATATTACAACTATAAAAAGTTATATCAAAATTATTATCTATATCTACATAAATACACGTATAAACTTACATATACAACATATACAAATACTCGTAAAATTATAAGATATTAAGAATTACAAAACAAATCACTACCTTTATTCGAATTACAAATAATGCACACATGTTCAATTTTTGCATGTTAAAAAGACTCGAGTTTGGCAAACTGAGACATGAACCAATGTTCCGATGATATATAAATGTTGTATTTCGCAGCATTTTCAAATACTAGTAAAGTGCACGTGCATCGCACGTGGTGTGATTTTTTTTGTCGATTAAATGTAGTGAAATAAATTAATTAATTAACCAAATAAATTTAGTTAAGTTGTAAAATGACCATTCAACAATTAATCTCTCATGCTTTTATTGGTTTATTTGAAAAAGGCAAAATTGCATATAAAAGCACGACCTTTTATGTTTTTGCATTTTAATCACGACCTTTTCATATTAGCACTAAAGTACATGACCTTTCCTCTCTTTGCAAGTCGAAGCAAGCCTTTCATCTCCGGCACTATTAAAATGACGTGTCCTGCCGGAAAACACACGTGGAATTAAAAAAAAAAAACGAAAAAAATACTAATCCACTCTGGACCCGTTTTTTGACACATCCCACACCAAAAAAAATTAAAAATCCAAATCCAAATCCACGTAAATCTCAAATCTCGAAGACAAAGTCGAAAAATTAAAAATTCCCAAATCGAAGAAAGAAGAAAACCTAAAAAAATCATCTGTAAAGACAATCTCGCATCTCGAAGGCTTCAATACGGAAAATACAAGACAAATCGGCCTTATTCTGTGTGAAAATCACCAATGTGGTCCCAATACCGAAGAATTGATGAAGGAAGGGGAGACAGGTAATTGTTATGTGTAATATTCTATACGAAAATCGTCCAGAATTTTTTTTTAATTCTATAATCTCTTTTAATTACATATTATTTTATTAATTATGGGTTTCGATTAAGATATTTAGGGTTTAGGGTTCTAAATTAGTATTTTTTAGGGATCAGAGATACAAAATTAGGGTTTTGGTTTCAATTTGGGTTTTTTAGGGATTTAAAATACATAATTAGGGTTTTCTTTCAATTAGAATTTTTAGGGGAATAGGGATTAAAGTTTGTTTTAGTTAGAAATTTTTGCCTTATAATGATATTCCTAAACTATATTTTCCTTTGCCAATGCAGTAATTATACAATCTTTTTGAATCATGGTGGTAAGATTGTCAACGTGGATGGGTTATGCGATTATTTTGGGGGTGACTTGTGTGCCATACATGGATTGGCACCAGACAAATTCTTTTACATTCACTTGAAAGAACAGATACAGAAACTGGGTTACAA